TGCTGGGGAAGCCCGCAGCACAGGGGGGCCACACGCAGATCCAAACGGGACCTCGCCATCCCTGGGGTGCTGCGGAGTGTGAAACCGTCGCCACTCTCGAACGCTGCCAGGGGAGCCAACACAGTGGGGCCACACGCAGATCCAAACGGGGCCTCGCCGTGCCACCCCTGTGGGGCGGTGAAGTGTGAAACATGTCGCCACTTTCGAGGGCTGCTGGGAGAGCCAGCGCAGTGGGGCCGCACGCAAACCCAACCGGGACCTCGCCATCCCTGGGGGGGGCCGTGAGGTGTGAAGTTGTTGCCACTTTGGAGGGCTGCTGGGGTGTCAACACAGTGGGGCCCCACGCAGATCCAAACGGGCCCTCGCCATTCCTGGGGGGTGCTGCGAAATGTGATACAATCGCATCTTCTGACGGCTGCTTGGGGGGCCGGCCCACGCAAATCCAAACGGGACCGCGCCATCCTTCGCGACTGCGAAGTGTGAGACTGTCGACACTTTTAGGTTGTTGAGCGGGGCAGCATAATGGTGCCCCACGCAGATCCAATCGGGACCTCGCTATCCTTAGGGGGCTGCGAAATGTGAAATTGTCACCTCTTCCGAAGGCTGCTTGGGGAGCCAGCACAGTGGGGCCCCACGCAAACCCAAGTGGGACCTCGTCATCTCTGGAGGGCGGCGAAGTGTGAAACGGTCGCCACTTTCGAGGGCTGCTGGGGGGGGCCAACACAGGTGAAGCCTCCTGGCCTTCTGCATATATTTTCTGCGAACCGGCTACACACACACACACACACACACACACACACACACACACACACACACACACACACACACACACACACACACACACACACACACACACACACACACACACACACACACTTCGCACGACACAGACATCTGCCGTGCACCGTCTCCTGCAGCGCTGCTATCATATGATTGATCGGACACTGCAGCATATGCATGACCAGTGGCGGGCGGCTTTTGAATCCCAGGACTTATTTTTTGTGAGGATCGGGGACGACGTCGGGGTGGTGTGGTGTATACTAAGTTTCCCCGCTTTCCCGTGGAAGCAACACAACTTTTTGATCAGCGGGTCGAGAGCGGGCCTCCTCCGGTTAAGAACTAAAAGAAACAACGAAACATGTATACACCAAGATGCCGTATACACCAGAATCCGTTTTCTTGTGCAAATCTCAGTGCGGGACCGGTAAGAAGCATCGGTACATAAAGTTCGGCTTCTTACTTGAATGTCGGTATACCTTACATTAATGTTTGGTGCCGTTGGGTTGGGTACGTTGCAAGGTCATTTCCTGTAACGGTTGTTTTCCTGGGGGGGCACGTAGTGGTAACGCTTGGGGTGGGCGGGGCACGTCGGGGCAGGGGGGCGTTGCGACAGCCGTCGTATGCCCTTTACCACCAGCACGGGCGTCCAGGCAACACCCCCACGCGCGACCCTTTCTCTCACCAGGAGGGGGAAGGGTTTGACCCACGCAAGGACCCTTACGCGCCAGAGGATCAGGCAACAGGTTCCCGTGAGGGCCGTTCCCCTGCTATCCACGATGCCCCCCTCGGACGCTTCAGGCCCCTCCCATCAGGTCGGGCGTATTCTCCTACAGGCGGATCTTGGACGAGAAAGGAAGAATACCCAAAACATGCTCAACACACAATCAAACATGTAGAAAAATCGTCCCCGCATTCTGCGTGTTACTATTTGTTTGGATATTCCTCCTGCTGTAGAGACATGCCCGACTTAACCCTTCCAGGGTTTCTCGGGGGCGGCCCAGCGGGGGGGGTCCAAGAGGGAGAGGGGGCGCAAGTCATGGCCGGCGGCGCGTGCGCGGCCCAACGGGGGCCAAGGACGCTGTGAAATGAGAAGAGGCGCCATGCAATCTGGGGGGTTCTCATGGCCCACGCCATGAGATCCACCCCCCCCGCAATCATCCCCCCCTCTCCTTGGCCGCCCCCGAAGTCCTGCCTGACCCCTCCTCCAAGGCGGATCCAGCCGTGGCGGCGAGGAGCCTCCGGGAACCCCCCCCCGACAGAAAGCCCAGAAGAACACACCCGGTAGGCACGCCTGGAGGATTGTCTGGCCTTTTAAAATATACATATATATAAATATACACACAAGACGGCATTGGCGCTGCGCGCCATGCGCCTTGGTCGTTCGAAATTCGCACGCTAGCGGAGTGCGAGCGTGCGTACATGCGCGCACACATGCGTCTATGAATGCATGTGTACGTTTGTATGGATGTGTACATGTATATGCACATGGCCAGTGTAATTATGTGCGCGCATGCACATGCGTATATCAGGCGGTAGTGGCCTGACCAGTTGCTCATATCATCGCGCCACTAAAAGGCGCGAGGGTCTCAGGCAAACGTGGTCAGACTACCGTGGGGCAGTGCGTCGCCGAGGTCAGTGTTGCGAGGACGCCCCGGGTGAGAACGGCCAGAACACCTCCGCTCAAGGGGAGTGCACCTCCGAAGTCAGCCGTGCGAGCATGTTGCGAGCGAGGAGTGGTCTGAACGCCTCTGCCCAGGGCATCCTTGAACTTAGAGTTGCGAGAAGTCGCACGCGAAAGTGGCCGAACCACCGCGGCGCAAGGCACCTCCGAAGTGAGATTTGCGAGTTGCGAGTGTCTCAGGCGACAGCGGCTGGAACACCTCGACTGAGAGTGTCTCGGGCCCCAGAGCTGCGATGATGTCTCGAGCGAAAACGGCGGGACCGATGCGAAGCAAGGCGCTTCTGAGGTCGGAGTTGCGAGCATATCTCTGGCGAAGCGGATTAGACTACCTTCCGTTATCTCCTCTTCCTCATTCCCCTTTTCCGTTTCCTCCTCCTCCTCCTCCTCCCCCTCCTCCTCCTCCTGTTCCTCCTCCTCTTCCTCCCCCCCTTCTGCGCTTCTGTCTTTGCCCATTCTCCCCGTCCCTGGCGGCGCGGCGCGGCGCCGCTCGGCCTCTCTGCGAGTCAAGCGGCAAAGGGTGAGAGAACCCCCCCGAATTAGGAACGGTTTTTCCCAAGTCGCCAAGGGGGCCCGAAGGTAGTGCAAGAGGCGGCGCAGGTTTTGAAATCCCCCAGGGGCCCCTCGGATTCGGCCGGCCCTCTCTGGTAAGGTAGGCAAGGGCACCGCGTCCAGGTGCTCAATCCCCCGTATCTCCCTCCCTTCGTCTGCGTTCCCTCCTCCATGTCCCCCTCCTCCTCGTCCTCGCCCCCCTTTTCCCCCTCCTCCTCCTCCTCCCTCCCCCCTCCTTCTCCTCCCTTGATGCCCCCGCGTGGTTTTCGGGCCATGACTCGGGCCTCTAGGGGCCGTTCGCGACGTCTCCGGCGCCCCCAAAACGCTTTTTAGTTTCTGAACTTTTGGGCGCCCTCTTGGGTCTCTCTTGGGGCCGTCTTGGTGCTCTCTTGAGCCGTCTTGGGCGCCTCTTGGGCGGTCTCGGAGCCCACCTGGACCGTGTCGGGGCCTTTTTGGGGGCCTCGTGGGCAGTATTGGGGCGATCTAGGGAGCCTCTTGGGCCATTGTGGAGCGTCGGGAAGCGGGAAAAGCGAAAAGGCCAAAAACATAGAAAAACACACAAGAAAATCAACTATTGTAGTCTCTCGGGGCTCTCTTGGGAGGCCTCTTGGGGGTATGTGGGGGCGTCTTGGACGCGTCTTGGGCAGTCTTGGGCCCAGATTGGGCGTCTTGGGCCGATCTTTGGGTGTCTCGGGGCCCTCTGTGGCCGTCGTGGGTGTTTTTTGTCGCGACGCACTCGCAGGACAGACACGGAGCACTCTGCAGGAGCGCCCCAAAGGCTCGGGGAGGCCGAAATTCGTTTGGGGGGGTGGGGGGTGGCGCTGGGTGCCGCTTTTCCGGGGTCCCCGGTCTTGTAAAAATATATAAATCGGTATGTATATATATATATATATGTATATATGTATATATATATATTATATTATATTATATATATATATATATATATATCGCTCGTGCTTCCGCGGCGCACAGTGTCCAGTTGATCATTGCAAAGCCTTGTGAGTTGATAAGATGAGCGCCCTCGCAGCGCGGGCACTGTCCTCGGTCGCATTAGGAAGCGACCTCCTTATAATGGGAAGCTTCGTCTGTATGTTGTAGGTATGAAAAAGCAATGGTCGCGCGCTCTAGCGCAACGCGCTGTGTGTACTCGTCTGATATGTTTATATTTATATATATATATATATATATATATATCGTGCGCACCAAATTGAAACAAACTCATATTTCCAGACTAAAAAAAAAACGGAGCGGTAACGTCACGTTGCCCCCCCCTCCCCGACCAGCCATACCTGGGGGAGCTGTGGTCCTTCCCCCCTGGGGGAACCCATCGCGTCGACGATCTCTCGAGGGGGGTGTCGAAACCGATGGGTCCCCCAGGGGGGAGAGGACCTCAGCTCCCCCAGTTGTGGCTGGCCTGCCTCCGTGTCGGTCCGCACTGCGGCGCCGGCGGCCCGAGGGCCCGAGGCGCCCGCGGCCCCGCCGGCCCCGCTCCTCGGGCGCGCATGGGGCCGTGCCGGCGGCACGAGCGCCAGAGGCGCGGGGGCCCGCCCGCCCGGGGCCCGCCCTTCCGGGCCCGCCCGGGCCGAGGCGCGACGCCGCGACGGAGCGCAAGGCCGCGAGAAGTGACGACGGGGCCCCCCCGACGCACTGCGGCAGTGCCCGGGGGCGCACGGGGGGGGGGCGGAGCGTCAGATGCTGCGGGCGGGGGGGGAGGGGCGGGGCGGGGAGCACAACGCGCGTTATCGCCCCACGGGCAACAGAAAACTTCCCCCGAATTAGGTGCTCAGGCCGTGCGTTCCTTGCCCTCTCGCCTTAGGTCGGGCATGTCCCCCTGAAAGCAGCTTTGGGAAGAAAACTTGAAAATTGTCACAGACAAGCTGGTCCCCGGATTCTGTTGAATCATTTTGCCGCAGATTCTCCCCCTGTGGAGGGACATGCCCGACGGAACTCTCGCATCTGGGCTCGCGACCAGGGCGGCGGGGGGGCGGGCCGCTGAATCCAGGGCGCAAGCCGCCCATGCCGCCGCCAGGCCTCAGCATCGGCTGCGGCGCGCCTCGGGCAGCCGGCCGGTGCCGACCGGGGGGCACGCGGGCCCCGCGATCAGGCACGCCACCACCGCCCCCAGGAGGGGGAGGGGGGAGGAGATGGAGGAGGAGGAGGAGGAGGAGGAGGAGGAGGAGGAGGAGGAGGAGGAGGAAGAGGAGGACGAGGAGGAGGAGGAGGAGGAGGAGAAGGAGGAAAGGGAGGAGGAGGAGGATTGGGAGGGAAAGGAAGAGGACGAGGTGCGAGGAGGATCGAGGAGCGAGCATAAACAGGAGGATCAAGTCCCCCGCCCTTCCTCTGACACCACCACCCCCATTTCCCACTCAAACGTAACGATCCCCCGCCTCCATTCACATCCGCCACCACCACCTCCAGTCCCCCCCCTCCCTCCTCCACCCCTCTGGGCTCCTCTTACGTACTCTGATGCCTCTTGGGAAAAAAGGGGGGGCGATGGAGGTGGCGGTGGTGTATCTTCTTGGGGGCGGTGAGGGCGGCGGGGCATCAAGGAGAGAAGTTCATCAAAGAACCGGATGATGGCATGACCGCCAGACTCCTCATAATTCCGCGCGAATGTCTCGGATCGGCGCCGGAGCCCGCCGCCTTGGCTCGCCCCGGCGCCGAAGCAGAAAACACGCGCGGGCCTCCGAAAATTCATGGTCATGCCATTCTTTGGTCCTCGAGTTCAGTGCAAGATGACGACCGAGATGCAAAAGACACAAGAGGAGGTAATCCAAGCAAAACGGTCATCGTGCTGCCGTGAGGAACGCGGCGGACAGAACACCCTGTTTGGCCCCAGAAGCGCACGGGTCTACGAAGAGCGCCAGTCACAGGGAGAGCCATGGAAGGGCCTAGGCGACAGCGAACCCCTTCCAAAACCCGCACCGTTCCTTGTTGCAGGGTCTTGGCTGCAGTTCCCCCTGCCGCTGCGAAAGGCTTTGGAGATGATCAACCCCAAAGAGTATACCTAACCCTTTTGGGAAGGGGACCTACGATAGGAGGGCTGCACCAATTAGGGATAAAGGGGGTCTTGCCTGCAGATGTATCAGAGCATGCCACCCACACTTATCATCCCTAATGGCAAAACGGGGGCGGGGGCCTCACTGAAGCCACGTCATCACCGTGTTGCTTTGGCTAGGGGTTCTTTGCTCCTCGAGGAAGAAGACGGCCGTCAACCCGTGCCAGGGACAACGACGCCAGCGACGCCCACGAGCAGGCCAGGGCAGCCCAACGCAGCAGTCATCACACAGGGCGCCGCTGCGCGACGCCCCCCCCCCCTTTCTGGGCATCTCTTGACCTCCGCGGCGAGCCCCGCTCGGGGGCGGATAGAACCCTCATCTCGACACGTCGATGAACGAGTTGTCCGCGTTCGGTTCTCGGGAGGGAACCACGGCCGTCGTTTTCCACGCTTGCGCCCGCCCCGAGTTTCTCTCTCTCTCTCTCTCTCTCTCTCTCTCTCTCTCTCTCTATATATATATATGTACACATGCATATATATATATATATATAAGACTGCAGTGGCGCTTCGCGCCATGCACCTTGGTCCTTGAAGTTTGGTATGCAGGCGGAATGGCAAGAAAGTCGAGCCGACAATTTAGCGATTACTCCTGGTTGCCGTTTTTCCGGCATCGTCGCTATAATACAAGCATTCGTTATCCTTCCTCCATGCTTCTTCTTCTTCCTTATTTTCGCCATGCCCTGCGCATTCCCCCCATCCTCTTCAGCTCTTTGTTGCGGAGGCTCCTCCTTGGAGAGCCTTTAGGGGCCTCACAAAAGCTGTTTCAAGCTTTCTTAAGGCCTTCTGGAGACCTCCTGGGCGTATCATGGGGGCCTCTGGGGGTTTCCTCGGGCCACCCTGCCTCCAACCGCGGTCTCCCTGAACGACCGAACCACGATTTGAAATGTGTCGGAAGGTGTCTTTGGGCCATCTTGGGCCGCCATGGGGCTCTCTAAGGGCCATCTTGGACCCGTGTTGTGCCGTTTGGGGGTTCTCTTGGTCTGCCTGGGAGCCCTTTCGGATGGTTGTGGGGCGATTTGGGAGCCTCCCAGGCGGCTTCGGACGCCCAGAAGACCGCCGTCTCGGAGCGTCGGGAAGCCGAATAGGGAGAACCCTCAAATTCACCAAAAAACAACAGAAAATCAATGATTGTTGCCTCGGGGGGGCCTTATTGGGAGTGCTTTTGGAGGCCTCGTTGGGGCCGTCCTGGAGGCCTCTGGGGCCATCTGAAGGTCACGTTGGTCACTCTTGGAGCGCTTTTGTGCTGTCTTGGGGTCTCTGGGACGTCTCCGATGACCCCCCTGATCGCCCTAGGTGTGCTGGGAAGGCTTGGCAAAACGCCATGTGAGGCCGGGCGGCCGCTTCGAAGCCCGTCTGGAGGGCCCCAAAGCCCGACATCCCAGGAGTCCGATGTTTTTTTTGGGGGGGTGATGGGTTTTCCCCCCGCCCGGGCTTATAAACAGATAGAAGAGGAATATATATATATATATATGATAATGTTGTTATTTATGTGTTGTCTGACGACGCGCGCGCAGCGGTCAAGCGCCTCGGCGGCGCCGTGCCCAGCTCAGGCGGGGGGGGCGCCCACACGCGACCCGCACAGGGGAGTGCAGGACTGCGCGCGTGGCGGGCAGCTGCCTCCGCGAGCGCCACTAGCAGAGCACGGGTCTTACGAGAGGGGTTCTTTCCGCCCCCGACCAGAAAGGAAGGCAGGGGCGGCGGGCCTTCTCGGAAAGCTCGGAGGGCCTCCTGCCTCCCGAGGAGCGTTCTCTACAGGGCAGTTTTTTTTTAATACATAGGATGTTACCATATCGGATTTTAATACATGATTAATGTATGAATGAACTGATGCATGCAATCATCCTTGTTTTTGATACTAAATCCCTGCATGTTGAATACATGATCCGCACGCGGAACATGTATTAAAAACGGCACTGTCGGCCTGTTCCGGGAACGGCATCCGAGGAACCTTCTGCAGCGCAACGGCCAAGACAAGCCAACCTGCTGGTGGAATGGGGGCCCAGACACGACCGTCACTGGAAGCTCCACCCGATGTCTCGAGGGGATAGCTCAAGAACGCTGTGCACTCCTGCACATCAAAACCATCACCGGGCTGGATGACGAGTTGAAAACCTTCGGTGGCAAGTCATGGGAGGCTCCCCTACCATCTTGTTGAGCACCGCTAGTCAACGCTAAATCGGCGCTATCTCATCGATGACCAAACGCTAATCGACGCGATTGGACGCTGGAGACGGAATTAAGAGGGAACCCGCTGGTCAGACAAGTGGACACAAGAAGTAGGAAGGCGTTGGAAGTAGATTTGGTTTACGCCCAACTCCTGAGGGAAGAGGGAAAAACGCTTCACTCTTGAAGTGGGAAGGCTCCCAAGATCTGCTACCGAAAATCAAAACAATCTGGAGGGGCGAGCATGATCAACCCAGGTGCGTGCTTGGAGGACGAGGTCCGGGGGCGGAGGGACGGCACCCTTTTGAGTCGTGCCGGCTTCAGGGCGCGTCCCCGACATCTCTGACTCATGAGAGGATTCGTGAGGGGGAAGGCTTCTTAAAAGGTTGCTGCTTCTTAGAATGCGCCGGCCATACATATTCAGACAAGGCCCGCACCTTCCAAGAAGCGGGGGTGCTTCTAAGACGCTTTCCCCCCACCCCCGGCCCCCTCTGCGCGTGGCTGATATGCCTGACCTGAAACCAGAGCGCACGGCGATAAGGGGGAGAGAGAGAGAGAGAGAGAGAGACAACCCAAGAGAGCCCAAAATCGAATCGATAAGCCGGATCGGCGATCGAAATGAGTCGGATCGGCGGAAATCGCGAGCCGAGCCGGGAAAAGTCGAGTGTCGGATCGACGGAAATCGGCAGGCCAGTAGGCCTCCATCGAGAAATCGGGGTCCAACTCGGGATCCGAAGCCGAATAGGATCGGAATCGGAAGCCATCGACATCGAATCGCATCGAATCGGAGAAGTCGGAACGAGCCCCGAGACGACCGCGCCTCCTTGCATCATCGCCGCGGGCCCGTCCAGCCGCGGCCGCTTCCGTGCGCTCTCTTCCGCCGCCGCCGCCACGGTCTGCAGCGCCTGGCCGCCAACCGCGCGGGAGGGCGGGCGGAGGCGCGGGGGGGGGGGGCTCTGGACGTGAGGGCGGCTCTCGCTGGCGAGGCCAGAGCTGCGCGCCCCTTGCCTCGCGGAGCGCGAGTAGCTTCGCGCTCTCGCGTCGCCCCCCGACAGGAGAGGCGCAAGACGAGGAGACAGAAGACGGGAGATCGCAAATCGCGAACCTCGCCATCGCTCGGACGTCTATTCCCCGTGCGCTGCTCGGCTTCGTGCGTGTTTTTTGTTCGATGATCCCAGATGCTCCTCGATGGTCCTACCCGGGGATAGGAACACAAGTCCGAGCGATGCCAAGCAACCGTGGGGTGTCCTTGGAGAACGGCCCAAATCCGAAAACCGTCACCAGACCCGTCGCGCTGTGAAAAAAACACGGCGGAAAAATGTTCCACATTTCCAGCCCGGGGGCCCTGACCATAAAGACAAGCTGGCCCTGGGGAAGGGGTCCAGACCTCTGGGGGTCGACGTCGTCAAAGACAACACGACGTCGGGGCTCTGGGTCCGATCACCGCTGGCTCACCGCACGTTGCAGTCACCGCGCCGCGTGGAGGCCCACGAGCTCAGGACGGACCCCGTGGCAGTTCCAGGAGCCTTGGGCAGCGCTCGAGGTGTGCACCAAGTCGCCCGGTCGGCCAGGGACCTCGGTGTATGGACGCCCCCCGGCTTTCCAGACCTGTGGGACTCTGGAGCGTCGGTACGGTGAACTCCTCTGCCGGATTCATTCGCTCCGTAGCCGACCCAACGACGTGGTGTATACATCGAGTCCTTCCGAAGCCCATCCCAGCAAATTCCCTGGTCACGCCCAGCCATGGCGACGAGAACAGCCGTCGTCGCCCCGCCTCCTTCTGGCTCGCCGCCGGGTCTCTCGCCCCATCCGCTGCGAAACGGTTGGCACGAGGGGCACGGGCCTTGAGAACAAAGAGATGTGAACTGGGCCTTGGGGCTGCCTGTGAACACAGCAGCGCTTAGCAGCGCTTGCATGCAGCAACGGGCTGGTGAGAACAACAATGCCCGTGTGCACCAGTGTCTGCGTACACCGCAAAACCTCTGTACACAACAATGACTCCACAGCGCCTTTCTACACCGCAGGGCATGTGCGCGTAGCAGTGCCAGTGCGCACCACTGTCACTGTGCCTGTGCAAAACAGCGAACCTACACCACGCTTGCGGAGTACACCATGATGCCGGCGCACACCACAGCGCCTGTGTACACAAGTGCTGTGTACAACACGACGCTGTTCTACACCACAACCGATGCTACAACAACACACATATGCACCACAACGCGGGTGTGTCGCACAGCGTTCGTTTGCACCACAGCGCATGTGCATACCACATTGCCAGTGTGCACCATAGCTGTCGCTTCAGCACCATGTTCGTGTGTGCGTATGCGCATCACAGCGTCTATAAACCACAGCCCCTCTGTACATCCTAAACCCTGTGTGTACTGTCAAGGTCCTTGCACAGCCCAGATCCCCACCAAAGACATCAAGGATCCAGAACGTAGTAAGTTCAATGCGAGTTATGTGTGGTTGTTTATTCTGGCCCAGCGTAAAAGCATCCCCCGTACTTCGGGCCCATCAGGAGTACACATGCAACTCTGCTTATGTGCACCTCAGCGACTGTGTACACAATATTTCATGTTATATGCACCATATATGCTGCAGCAATGTGTAGTTGCACACCAATGCTTGAAAACACCAAGGGGCCTGCGTGAACAGCAATGCCTGTGCTCACCACAATTATTGTGTACACCATCCTGTGTACACCACAACTGCTGTGTACACCTGTGGGCCTGTGTGCACCAGAGCAGCCACATATCAACGCCTGTGTACACAACAATGCCTGTGCGCACCACGGCGTCTGTACACCACTACGCCTCTGTACATCAGAAAACCTGTATACACTTAACTGATCTCGGCTGGGCCCATATCCCCCCCCACGAAAGGAGGGGTCCAGGACGTCTCAAGCTCAATCTGAGTAATGTGTGATTGATATTTTTTCCCTGGCCCAGGGTACGGCATCCCCTGCACTTTGGGCCCATCATGCCTGGGCATTCAAAACTGCTTATGTGGACCTCAGCGCCTGTGCACATAATAGTTAATGTGATGCGCACTACAGATGCTGCATCAGCATTTGGTTGCATCCTAATTCTTGAGTGCATCACAGGGCATGTGTGAACAGCAAGTCCTATGCACAGCACACTTACAGTGAATATCATCCAGTGTGCACCACAGCGCATGTGCTCACCAGTGCGTATGAACACCACCACGCCTGTGTACACCACAGCTGCTGCAAGCTATGTGATGTAAGACATGTGGCAGTAGCTATGTGACGCAGTACGTAAGGTGCAGTCTATGTGGTGTGAGCTGCGTGGGGTCATCTACATGGTGCACGCTGGTAGAGTGGCGTAAGATGGCCATTCGAAAAAAACATGAGGAGGGACGACAAAACACTTAGTTGCCGACTCGCGATGGCAAATTGAGCGAAACGACTCAAGCATTGCGCGCACATTGAAAAATACATATGTTCACATGTCATTCAGTGGAACTGTGTTTGGGATTCTGTTGGAACCCTGTTGCAATCGTGGCATCCGATTGAAGTCCTCGAATGCACTCGAAATCCGATTGGGATCCTGGTATGCTTCCGATTCGTCCCCGAGTACAGATCCTGATAATACATCTCCGAATCAGCTCCTGGTGAAATTCGGGTCACCACATGCCCCACCACGGCTCTTATTGCAGATCACAGCAACCTCAAACTACAGCCCCTGGAACTGCTTCCACGTGGCTCTTGCTTGCTACAACTCACCCTGAAGTGTAACATTCCGACGGTATCTTCTACGGCAACACCAGGTAATCCTGCCACAGTTCGTAATGTTACAACTACCACTCAGACTATTAGATTTTCAAATGCACCTGCTGATCGTCCATTTTATTACATCTCATGGCTGCTACAGATCCTATCCGCCCGTCGTTGTAATTGCATCCCGCTGCTGTTGCCTCCCCTCCTTGCTCCTTTTACCCCGGCCCGTCGGCAATCCGGGCGCGCTCTCGAGGTGGGCGGGGGGTGTTGAGACTACGGTTTCCCGGCAAAAGGCCGGTTTCTCTCATCATCATCCCGGGCACCGCCGCGTGAACACGACCCCCCGGTAATGATTGCACCATCAAACAAAACATGGAGTGAGATAGACTGCCTAATGATCTGAGCTCACGCGCGCCCGCATGGATTGCCGCACGCCCCAAGGAGGCGAACACACACGCAGCGAGCGAACACGCCCACGCATGCCCGCTTGCACCATCATCCTGCATTGAGCCATGTGACGTGAGCGACCCGTACGTGGCGCCCACGGGGCGCCCGCCAGGCGCGATACCTCGCCGCCGCCCGCCTGGCGCACGGGGCGCCCACGAGGCGCGCCCACCAGGCGAAGCCCCGCCGCACCGGTCCAAAGCCAGATGAGACACCCTGAAGTGAGCATCGTTCCACCGATCCCCATCCCCAGCGGCGTGGCCTGGGCCACACTGGCCGAATCACCCCCCTTGATGGGGATATAGGTCGTTCCCTTCGGGCTTCGAGGGGTGTATCCCCAACTGGGAGGGTAATTTGGTGGGGGTCTCGAAGGGGATGGGGATGGGGATGGGGATCGGTTAAATGATACAGGCGAATGCAAGCACCGCTTGTGAGTAAACACGACGGTGGTCGTTTTGAAGATGTGGGCGTAGAGTAGCTGTAGAGCCGCCCACACTTGTTGCATGAGCTTCCAACACTTACACTTGAGCAGGGACCGACAGTCCCGGCATCCCGCGGATAGATGGAGGCCCCTTTTCAAAAACGGCTCTCGCGTGAAACATCTATAATGTTGAAAACCTCTTTTCAGAAGCGATCGCTGAACACTTCCTTGCACTTTACCGTTCCACCTTTGTCACTTTGTCGTAGCTAGACGATGGACATTTGACAAAACGGAATATCGGCTGAGTGGCACGCCCAACGCGTCCTCGTCAGTCTGGGGGCCAGTCTCCCGCGGTGGAAAGTATGGGACGGAAGATCTATTGCAGAATCGCTGGTGCATCATGTGTGTACTCTTGACCTCCTCCTCCTCCTCCTCGCGTGCCCGAATACTGGCCACCATGGACAACGAGCATGCAGACCAGGGCGTGGTCGAGGAGGCGGTGGGGAGGTAGGAGTGCAGGGGATACGATATGTCGAACCCTGCCTCGTCGAGGAGGTGGCGGGGAGGTAACTCGGAGGGAGAGAGATACGATGTGCTGAACCCTCCCCTTGCGGCTTAAATCACAGATGCTTCTGCCTCGGCATCCATTTCTGGGGTTCGGGCCCCGAGCTGCTCCTGGCCCCCATTGTTATGTCGGGCCTGTCCCCCTACAGGGGGATTTTCGACGAAAAATACAAAAATACTCCAAAATTTCCCAAAGAAGGTCAAACAATACTCCCAAAATAGTCCCCAAACTATTTGTGGACTATTGTTTGACTATTTTGGGGGTATTTTTCAATTTTCGTCGAAGATCCCCCTGTAGGGGGACACGCCCGACCTAACCCCATTGTGGGGCCCTCCCCGGCCGTCGAGCCCCCACATGGGCCCGGCGCTCGCCCGGCAGAACGCCCGGACCTTTTTTTCTCGCGGGCAGCAGCTCCGACCCGGCCCGATCCTCCTCCCGCACTCCCACCTCGACCCGGCCTCCTCCCTCCTCCTCCCTCCTCCTTCCTCCTCGTCCCTCCCGATCTGGTCCTCCTCCCCCCCCCCCCTCCCACCAAACCACCCGAGCCGAACCCGAAGACCCCCATTTCGGGTTTTGGGGGGGGGGGGTACGGGTTCCAAATGTGTTCTTCCAATGTTTTCCGACGCCCCCCCACCCACCAGGAACGGAGTGCAAATTAGGGCCTTCGGGTTGGGTTGGGTTAGTTCGATGGGTGGTGAACCTCCTCCTCCTCCTCCTCCTCCTCCTCCTCCTCCTCCTCCTCCTCCTCCTCCTCCTCCTCCTCTGCTCCGCCCCACCCCACGTCCCGCGAGCACGGGAGATCGCGCGCGAAGCGTGGGGAGAGGGAGGAGGAGAGAAGGCTGAGACCTGAAGAGAGATGATGGAAGGCTGCGGGAGGCGTGGCTGCGTGCTCGTAGATCTCGGGCGAGGGGGCAGAAGAGGGAGGAGTGCCAGGAAGGAGCAGTGGTGGACGCAGGGAGGGAGTAGGGGGGATGAGGCTGCGAGGAGACAGAGGGGAAGGAGGCGCGAGGGCGAGGAGCAGGCGCAGAGGTAGGAGAGAAAAGAGGGGAAGGAGTAGGAATAGAGGGCAGAACATCCCCCGCATAATCGAAGGGGCCCCAGGACACACAAATGAATACACACAAATAAAACTACTCCCCATATTTCCTCATCTTTTTGGAGTTTTGGTCTTCCCCCACATTTCCCATATTTTCCCAAATTTTCTGGGGAGTCGACGATTAATTGTGTCTGTGCTTTTCCCTTCCGAATTTATCACCCCCAGCACGAGAAGCGGTTTAGCAACCGCACCCGCAGAAGGAATCGGACAGGGCAGGGCTGTCCAAGGAAACGCCTATGGCCGCTTCGCAGAAGCCAATGAGGAGGAGGCCAGACAAAGGAAGGACGGTGGACAAGACTGATGGACAAAAAGGCAAAAGGATGGACAACAAAAATGGACAAAAAGGATGGACAAAACGTGAGGAGGGGGAAGGACAAAGAGGAGGGGGAAGCGGAGGAGGAGCCGGGGGGAGGACGCCAGCGTGCCCCGAGCGCTCCCGCGCGCGCGGCTCCTGGGCCGCCGGGCGAGGTGGTGCTCACCCCTCTGCGCCCCAGGACCCCTCTCCTTAGGTCGGGCGCGTCCTCCCGCAGGCGGATCTTGGGCGGCAAAGTGGGCTCAATGCCAGAAATGAGCAGAACATGATCTGACATACGTTTTAAAAGACGTCCCCAAACTATTTGTTTGGACTATCTTATGACTACTCCTCCTGTCGGGGGACACGCCCGACTTGACCCTTCCCCTCGCGGCACACTCCCCCCCCGTCGTGGCGACACCTCGGCGCGGCGCCGCCCCCGCGGGCGGCGTGGTGGGTGAAGACAGATCCGCTCCAATTTTTTGTTAGGAGGCAACTGCTGGGAGGCCTTCGTCGGCAGGATTACGAAAGAGTGAGCCCAATCTGAGGGCTGTCACACGCCAAATCAGGCCGCGGACGAATCGGGGTTATCAAGCCGGATTAAGCAGAACGAAGCCGGGATAAACGGGATGGGGCCGGACTAAACCGGATTCCGGACCAGCGCAAAGTCAGAATGCGACTTCCCAAGAATTGCATCCGAACCACATCGATCCCTGGACCCCTCCTGGGTCCATCTGGTGTAGCTGTTCACACTGGATCCGTTTTTGATGGCGCCGGGGCCCGACAAACGGCACCCAGAGAGGCCGAACACGGGAGAAGACCGTCCCGAACCCAAATCCTCGCAACCCCCCCCGCCCTGCTCCACCTCAGGCGCGGCATGACCGACCCCTACCAGACCATGACCAGCACCTTCCGTGACGACCTCCTCGCCTTCCAAGCTCCCCTCCTGCCGCACACATACCTCTTGGGGTGAGGCAAGGGGAACATCACGGAAGACGATGTTTTGCATTGAAAAAACAGTCCAAAACAAATCCCCCGCCATCATCCCAGACAGCCCTTCTACACTTGATATGCCTTGACGACAAAACGACCTGCTCCGGACAGCCCCTTGGACAACACAGCGGGGATCCGGCTACTCCCCCTTGGACAAGCCCCCCTGGAGGAGGAGGAGGCGGAGGAGGCGGAGGAGGAGGAGGAGGCGGAGGAGGCGGAGGAGGAGGAGGAGGAGGGAGGAGGAGGAGGAGGAGGAGGAGGAGGAGGAGGAGGATGGAGGAGGAGGAGGAGGAGGGGTCGGCCAGGCCGCCCCCGCCCTCCCTCCCCCCGCGGCGGAGCAGGGCGGCTGCCCCCCTGGCCGCCCCGCGGGGTGAGCGGCGCCTGCTGCACCAAGCTCTGCGCCTGCATCGACGCGGGGCCTCGCGCACGGGGTGGGGCGCTCAGCGCCACTCTCTTACCAGCCTGGAACATATCCCTATCCCTATGCTGGCCACCTCCTCATCACGATGCCAATCTCAGGGATTCCCTTATTTTTTGAGGGCGCATCCCTAAGATTGTCATCGCCTTTTGGCGTGTCAATCTTAAGGATAGGGATGCGTTCGAGGCTGGTAAACTGACGGGCACCTTGGCCAGCGACCCGACGAACCCCACCCTTCCCCGGGTGGGCAGCGCCGCAGTGCCAGAGAGAGGCCCTGCAACAACAATTTGTTCGGCACGTTGCCCAACTGCCCGCTCGTGCGCACCCGTTAGGGTTCGGTCGGGCCTGTCTGTCCCCCTACAGGCGGACTTGGGATGACAAATAATTCGTAGAAGGCCACAGAACACGCCCAACATGATCAAACATGGAGAAACAAAAGAAAAAGTCCCCAGACTTTTTGTTGCACTATTTTTGACTATTCCTCCTGTGGAGGGACAGGCCCGACTTCACGTTGCGGTGCCGCCGAGGCGCGCGACGCGCACGCGCGCCGGAGTCCTCGGGCAGCCGCGCCCCTCCAGCGGAACCTTCCGCACGCCGCGGGCGGCGCGGCGGGGGCCCGCGGAGGGCTGCGTGCGCGGTCACCGACGGGGCTGCCGAGGGTAAACGCCCGCTGGGCCAACATCAGGGCCCCGTAATTCCGGACACACTAAACCCGGACACCCAACATCCCTCGAAGCCAATTTTTCCAGACGGCGGCACGAACAAAATAAGGCACTGCAGCGCTCCCAGAATAAACCCGGACACAAGCCCTGAAAGCCTGTAGAACCCCGCTAAACCCGGACACAAGCCCGAATCCTGCAGTGCAGCAAACAAAAAATGCACGGGTGCTGAAAAATGTGCATTTGCAAGAAAAGGTGTCGTTTCTTTTTGGTTTATCTGTGTCCTGGTTTATCTGTGTCCTGGTCTCTGGGGACCCGACAACACACGTCCTGCGGATCCCCGGCAGGGGCAGCGACTACCTGTCATACCCCAGACCACCCCAACCCAACCCGAAGCTCCGAATTGCGGGCTGAGGGGGGGGGGGGGATTACGGGCTTCAGACGTGTTCTTGCCAATGCTCCCCGACCCCCCTCCAAAGGGGAATGGAGGGCAAACTGGGACCCTGGAGTGACTTGGTGGGCGGTGAGGTCGGGCCGCGCGAAGGGCGGCCGTGCGAAGCAGGCAAAGGGGCCTTCCAAGAGGGCCCCTGCTTCCAGTCATGTTAAGTCGGCGAAAAATAAAAAGATACCCCAGACATGATCAAAAAATAATCCAAGAATAGTCTGGGGACTATTCTTTGAATATGTTTCTACCTTGTTGGGGTATGTTTGAATATTTTTTATTTTTCGTCGAAAATCCCCCTGTAGGGGGACACGCCCGACACAACAGTCGTGTGCGAACACACACACACACACTCATCCGTATCCGCGGCCTCCCGGGCTGGGCCCCTGGCCCGCGACCCCGCGGCTCCGGTGCGCGTGGACGCGTCCGTGCGACCGCGTGCCCGCGCGAGAGCGCCCTGGAACACAGACCGCGAGGGCAGGATGCGGACAGGCTCGCCGCCCCGCACGCCAAACGCCCCCAGGAGGGAAGCTCAGCCTGGCCGCCCTCGCCCCCGGCCAAGCCCAGCCATCCCCGAGGCTTCTCGCATGCTGTGACTCCCACTCCCTCTGCACAGGTGGCTGAGCCATCCGTGCAGACCAGCTAAACGCACTTGCCACGCACACCGCCAGCTCCAAACACCGACGCCACCCCGATCCCCGCATCCGTGCCAGGCACCCTCTCAACGAAGCCCCTTTCCGGCGTAAAACCCATAAAACCCTTCGTGTTTATGTGTTTTCCCTGTTCTGAAGCTCACCGTCCCGCCTCCCCGCCACACCGAAACGTTCGCCGCCCCTGCCCCCGGGACCTCTGGGGAGGCCCCTCCGGGCGCCAGGGCAGGGGCGGCGCGGGGGGCGGCGGCGGGGGGCCCTCCGGAGAAGAGGCCGCGCGCCCCGCGGCCCCCCCTCGCCCCGCCGCCCCGCGCGGCAGGGCGAGGGGTCGACGGCCGCAGCGGACGCCCCAGCGTCGCCTCCTCCTCCCCCTCCCCCTCCTCCTCCTCCTGCTCCTCCTCCCGCTCCTCCTCCCCCCCCTCCTCCCCCCCCTCCTCCTCCTCCTCCTCCTCCTCCTCCTCCTCCTCCTCCTCCTCCTCCTGCTCCTGCTCGGTCGCAGGGCGCCCGAAGCAGGCGAGCGACGAGAGGGAGCGGGTCCCTGCGCGAGGTGCCGTAGCGACCTTGCGCGATGGCCTGCGCGGGCCGCCAGCGCGGCACGCTGCTCCGGAGAGGCGAGAACGCGCACGCGCGAACCCCTGCGGCGCCGGCGTCGGCGCAGACGGCCCCGCTTTCTCCAGCCTCGCTCAAGTGAAAAAACTGGCGGGTCCGATCGTTGAGGGACACAGTTCCCACCTACCCCAAGTCCTCCTCCTCCTCCTCCTACTCCTCCTCGTCGCCGCCACCGCCGCCGCCGCCGCCGTCGTCGTCGTCGTCGTCGTCGTCGTCGTCGTCGTCGTCGTCGTCGTCGTCGTCGTCGTCGTCGTCGTCGTCGTCGTCGTCGTCGTCGTCCTAGTCATCACCGTCATCGTCCTCAATATCGTCATCGTCATCATCAACATCATCACCACCGTCAGTGTAATCATCACCACCAGCAACACCGTCATCACCATCACCATCACCATCACCACCATCATCACCACCACCACCACCACCACCACCACCGCCACCATCACCATCACCATCACCATCACCACCATGGACCCCCTCCCCCTCCAACTTTCGGCGGTGGACAAGCCTCCCTTCAGTAAACCTCCCCTTAGTGAAAACGGTCTAGGACCGAAACCGACGGACCTGGACCCGCCACAACGAAGGCCGAGACGCCCTCTCGCGATTCGAAAACGGCCAATTCCTTAATCGACGTGTGTAGTTGACAGCCCGCACAGCGACAGCTGCGCGCACCGCTTTTGGGCTGCCCTTCTGGCGAAGGTACATGCCACGGCTGGTGCGCGCCAAATTCCGCTTGCCAGTGGCAGGGGGAGGGAGGGGAGGAAGGGGGTTTGGGGCGAGGGAGGGGGGGGAGGCAGGACAGTCAACCCGTACAAGGTCGCACGATAAGGATGCAAGGGCCTGGGAAGGCCATGTCGACACTTTGCGGGCGGGGCGCGGCCAGCAGAAGCGGCCAAGGATGGACCGAAGGGCAAGGATCCAAGGGAAAATTGCTCATCCTTACTGGGCGGGTTGACTGTAGAGCAGCCAAATCTGAAGGGGCCCCAGGACACACAACTAAATACATACAAATAAAAGGATTCCCCATATTTTCCCATATTTTCTGGGTTTTCGTCTCCCCCCCCACTTTCCATATTTTCGTATATTTTCTGGGGAATCGGCGATTCATTGTGTCTGTGTGTTTTTTCCCTCCTGAAAACCAAGTGACGCAGCCGCGTCGAACGCACGCGCGACCGCGCTGGCCACGTGGCGCGGCTCGGCCGCCGGCCTCGCTGCCGATGGCTTCGACGCGCGCGCGACCCTCCCGCGGTGGAGGGGGGTTGGGCGTGGCTTCATGGGGGGGTCACAACTGGGGGGGTCAGAAAAGGTCCCCTTTCGTGCCCCTTTCGGGCCCCTCCAGAGCCCCAGGGGGCTCGTTTAGGTACCGTTTGGGTACCTTTTCGGACCACACTCGCCGCCCCCCCATTTATGATCCCCCGTTACGCAGCGCCCAAGGGGGAGGGGGGATTCTCGGGCCGGGCGGAAGGGGGGGATAGCAAAGGGGGGGTTTGAGAATCAGCTCACGCAGCTGATGTTCCCAACGCCTCCCGGCGCCGGAGGCGCCAATGTATCGCGAACTGGGCCCGGTGGCGGGGCGGAAACCAGTTGCATGCAGCAGATTTCGTACCCCCCCCCTTTCCCAATCCCCCCCTTTCGTCCGGCCCGAGATTCGAGGCATTCCGATGGTCCAGTTGTTGCCGCCGAGGAGCAGAGGCGCCGCGAGCGACAAGACGGGGCCCCGCATCCCCAACAGGCAAGGGAGCTAAGGCCCTGAGCCAAGGCAAGGGCGGGAGCGGAGGGATGAAGGGGCCCAAGGACACACAAATAAATACATACAGATAACAGGATTCCCCATATTTCCCTGTATTTTCTGTGTTTTCGTCTACCCCCCCCACTTCCCATATTTTCCCCTAAATTCCTCCTGGGAGTCGACGATGGATTCTGTCTATGTTTTTTTTTCCCCTCCTGAAGGGAGAGAGGATGGGAGCAGCAGGAGGGGGGGTCGATGGCATCCTCCGCAAGGGCTCGGGCAGGAGACCGGCTGCAGAACTCAGCTACCCCAGACTTGCTTTTTCCGTCGGATCTATGGAGAAAAATGTAGAACGTTCGTAGATCTTGGGGGGCATTCTACGCATGCCTCGTAAGCTCGACGGACAAATCAGGCTTCGGGTAAGGCAGGTCCGGAGTAGGCGAGGGCGAAGGTGCCCGTGGGGAAACCAAAAGGTACTTACCGATACGGCTGCCCCCCGGACCTCTCCCGGTACGTCCTGACCAGGACTTCGGGGCAAATCTGGCGGTGGCGACGAGGGCCTCCCAGGAGGCCCAAAACAGGGAAAACGAGAGGAGGGTAGCATTATGGGTGCCTCTTCCTCCTCTGATAGGGGAACGAAGAATGTCATAAACATACAAACTCGAAGGTCCGCGCGGACTTCTTGGATCGGCGCTGGGGCCCCCTATCGGCGTCTCCTGCGCCGCCCCTGGCGCGATCCGCGGGCCAGGGAGGGGGGTCCAATGCCGATCCGAGAACTCCGCGCGGACCTCCGAGTTGACACGTTCATGGCATTGCTCGGTCCCCTGGTATGGGTACATGTTCCTCCTCTAATCGGGTCGGGCGAAGGGGGGGGGATAGCAAAGGGGGGGGGTGATAATCAGCTCACGTAGCTGATTTTCCCGGCGCCTCCCGGCGCCGGGAGGCGCCCATGTATCGCGGACTGGGCCGGGGGCGGGGCGGAAACCAGCTGCAGGCAGCAGATTTCGTACCCCCCCCCTTCCCTATCCCCCCCTTTCGTTCGGCCCGATCTGGGCGGAAACCGGCTGCATGCAACAGATTTCGAAACTTTGGACGCCCGAAATGGGTACGGAACAAATGGGTACAATGCCCAACAGCAAATGTTGTCCCAAACCAACAGCGGCCGCTGTTGGGCAGGCGGCCTTCTGTCTCGAATGGACACAGGCCGCGGCGGCGCGGACAGCGAATCCTGTTCAAAGTGGACAGGAACTGCTGTTGGGCATGGTACCCATTCCTTCCGTGCCCATCTCGGGCGTCCAGAGTAGCCCCCCCTTTCCCTATCCCCCCCCTGTCGTCTGGCCCGATCTGAGCACCCCCCCCGCGCCTTGACCGCCGACCTGCCCCAGCAGGTTCACCAGCTGCCGGGCCGTCTGCTCCACGCTGGACACGGCCGAGCCGCCTCCGGGGCGCGCTGCGCGGGCGGCCGTGGGCCCCTGCCTGCCCGTCCGCCGCCGCAGGCCCAGGGCCCCCCACGCCGCGCTTCTGTTCGGCGGCACGCACGAGGGGGCGGAGTTAAGTCGGGCCTGTCCCCCTACAGGCGGATTTTCGGCGAAAACTGAGGAATACACAAAACATACCCCAAAAAGGTCTAAATACTCAAAAGATAGTCCCCAGACTGTGTTTGGACTATGCTTTGGCTATTTGTGTTTTTTTTTATTTTTCGTCGAAAATTCACCTGTAGGGGGACAGGCCCGACTTAAGGGTGGAGGGAGGGGGAGGGCTTCTCAGAAGGCGGCTGCCTCTCAGAAGGCGCCAGCCGCCCTTCTAAGAAGCCAGGGGCGCGCCGCTTCTTAGAAGCACCCCAGCAGCTTCTATAGAAACACAGAAGTGCTTCGTAGAAGCAATTGAAAGCTTCTCAGAGGCGGCGCCCGCGCCTTCCAAGCAGGGGGGTGCTTCTAAGAAGCCTTCCCCCTTCCCCCTGCCCCCCTCTGAGCGTGGCCGATGTTTGTGCGCAGCGTCGGCCCCCACAGGGCGGGTGGGAATCGGGGGTGGGAATCGTGACGGGAGGCTTCCTTCCAATTTTCGGCACCTGGGGGGCCCTCGCCAGGCCTCGGGGCCGTCAAACACGGCTAAGGAGGAGAAGCTGGCCCCGGGGAGTGGGTCGAGACCTTTGGGGTCGACGCTGTGACAAATCATGACGTCGGGGGGGTCTGGGCAAGGGGGGAGAAAGAACAAGCCCCTGTAGGGCCCTTTCCTTCACCCCCCCATCCGGGTCCCCCCCCCCCCATTCCCACCCGCCCGGGTCGTGCTTGTTCGCAACGTCGACCCCGAGAGGTCCGGACCCCTTCCCCGGGATCGGGTTTTCACCCGGGGGTCGCTCCCCGCGACCCCCTCGCGCTGTGAAACGAAAATCACGACGGGAGGTTTTCCGCCACGTTGGGCCTTTGGGGGCTGATACCAGGCCTCGGGAGGGCCCAAAAACATCTCTGGGTGAGAAACAAGTCCCGGGCAAGGGGCCCAGACCTCTGGTTTGGACGCCCGAAATGGGTACGGAAGAAATGGGTACAATGCCTAACAGCAAATGTTGCCCCAAACCGACAGCGGCCGCTGTTGCGCAGGCGGCCTTCTGTCTCAAATGGACACGATCCGCGGCGACGCCAACAGCGAATCCTGTTCAAAATGGACAGGAACTGCTGTCAATCTTTGTACCCATTCTTTCCGTGCCCATGTCGGTCGTCCCGATCTGGAGGTTGACGCAGTGAAGAAATTACGACGTCGGGGGTCTGGGTTTCTTGGCAACTCTGGGGCCTAGTATGGGCTCCCAGGGGCATGGGATAGCGTGAGATCGGGCATGTCCCCCTACAGGCAGATTTTGAAGCAAGAAATATTCCAAGAAGGCTCAAACATGGCCCGCAAATACCAGACACAAGCCGCCCCCAGACTATGATTTGCACACTTTTGAATTTCCCTCCTGTATAGAGGGACATGCCCGACTGAAGGATAGCGGAACACCTCCCGCCGCTCCTTTTTCGCGACGCGAGGGGGCCTGGGGCACAGGCCGCCCGCCTTCGCCCCCCGCGCGTCGCGCTGCTGCAAAGGCCGCCTCGCGCCGCCCCCCCCCCTCCCCTGCCTGGAGCAGGACAGCCCTCCGGCCCAGCCCGCCAAGCGCCACGCGACCCGTCCTTTCGCGCGCCCCCGTGGGAGACCCGAGGCCGAGCACAGCAGCGCTCGAAGGGGCGGCGGAACGAGGACAGGAACCTCCCGGGCGGGCGGGCCGCAGGGATCAAGGGGGGGGGGGGGCTCGGGGATGGTCGCGGGCGGAGGCTCCACCCCCGAGAAAAGCGGACAGAGCTCCCCGCGGCAGCGCCCAAAGCGACGCGTCCCCCCCACCCGGCGACGACGACTGGACGACGGCTTCCTCCTCGTCAGAGGCGCAAAGAAAAAATTGCGCGCGCTCGCGACTTCCGGCGCCCAGGCCGTGGCGCGGCGGCGGAGGCGCTCCAGGAGCCAGCTCCCTCCGACGGCAATCTGTCATCGAAGCGGACAACAAACTCTCTGGAACGACCAGGCTGCTGCAACACACCTACCAGCTCGTCCAGAGGAAAGGTTCGCGTCGATTGGCACATTCCGTACGACTGCCAAAATCGACTGTGACAACCGTGCTCAGATTCGGACTAGTTCGGTCGATTGTCTCGGTCGATTGTCTATGCACAGCGCTCTCCATCCATAGCGGGCAGCGCTCTCTCCATCCATGCACAGCGCTCTCTATTGGGTGAAGCGACGCAGAGATATCGAACGTAAAGAAAAGCGGGAAGGTTGAGACCTCCAGAGCTAAGCCGAGCCAGAAGGCCCGCAACAGCACCTGGCCGCTCCGAAACCGCCTGCCGCTGCAGGCACAGGCGCAGCACCTGGGCAAGAACGGCTTGCGCCAAAATGGCTACGGACAGATCCATAATCTAAGCTGTATTCGCCACACAAGCAACATGTGGCTAATGAGAAAAACCTAGCGCTGACTCTGCTTGCATATGTTTCACAAGTACACAGAGAAATGAGAGGATGATCGCGGCGTTGCAGGTACCGGATGGCGAGGGCCGTCCCAGCGTCTGGGCGCGAACAAAACAATCAAAACATACAGACGGAAGGGAAAACGAACAGCTAGGGACATCCTACGATATCCATGCGACAGAATGGAGCAACTAAACCCTAGTTTGGACGTCGGATAGCCTTTTGGGTTTGGGCTCGTCGACGCCGCACAATACGATGTGTTCAAAGCTTTCGTGGGCACCAGCTGGCCAAAACCTTGCTTCTCCTTCGTGTTTGCAGCTGCTGTGCATTGTGCTCCGAGGATGTCAATGGTTTCCTTTGTATGTTTCGTAAGTTTTGTCGTCCATGCTCGCCTGCCTGCCCCTGGCGGCGCGAGGGCGGGGGCAGCGCTAGGGCGCGATCGGGCGAAAATGCACAGGAACGCAACAGAAAAAAACACAGTGACATCCCAAAGGAACTATCAGAACAACTGCTAAACCTAAGACGACAAAGGTATCTACAGTCGGGTGCTTGACCTAAGGAACCCAAAATAAGGAACGAGGCCCCTTTTTTCCATGAGTTAAGCTTCGATTCCGATCGAAACATCAGGAAAACCTGAGGCAAGCTTCGAAACACTCAGGGAACGCGGAGCCCCTCCCCAACGAAAAGGGTTCCTTCTTCATGGCCCCGACTGTAGCAGCTGGTCCACACGAAACCTGCGAAAACACACGACTTGAACTTATGGACGTCACACTTTGCTTTCACGGGTGTCGTGGGCATCGGCTGGCCAGAACCTTGTTCTCCGTAGTGCTTGCAATTCTGTCGCATGGTTTTCTGGGCGCGAGCGCGCGAAATGGCAACTCATTTTTCGATACAAAGAAATCAAAATAAACAAACAACGAAAATCCATGACATCCCAAGAAAGACATACGAGATCGATGCAGCACCTAAGAAAAACCAAAGCTTCCGGCAGCTGGCGCACACGAAGCAATTGAAAACACAAGGTTTGGGCTCATCGACGTCGCGAAACACTCTGTTTTCATTCGTTTTGTGGGCATCAGCTCACGAAAACCTTGCTTCTCCTCAGTGTTTGCAGCTGTTTCGCATGGTGTTCTGAGGATGTCGTTGGTTTTCTTTGTTTTCCCGCATTTGTTTCTTCAAATTTGCGCATACCCGGGCCGGCGCAGCGCAGGGCACGAGCAGGCGAACATACAAAACAAGGCAAAGAAATACAAGGAAAACTAAGGACATCCCAAGAACACCATCCGAAAAAGCGGCAACGCCCAAGGGACAAAAAACGAAACCTGTGAAAACATACTGTTTGGCGCCTCGACGAGGTGTTTTCATACGTTTTGTGTGCGCCAGCTGTCAGAAACACAGGTGCTCCTTAATTCATTTTTATTTGAACAACTGTTTCGTATGGGTTCACTGGGATGTCCTTGGTTTTCTTTGTTTTTTGTTGGCATGTCGGACCTTTTTCGTATTTTCACCTGCCCGCCTCTGGGGCGACGGTGGCCCTCGCGAAAGAGAGAGATAGAGAGACTCAGAGACAGAGAGAGAGAGAGAGAGACACAGAGAGCAGATAGAGAGAGAGAGAGAGAGACGAGGGAAGAAGCGCGAAAAAAAGGGACGGTGTGAAAGCCTCGAAAAACCTTCCGCGAGCCTTGCTTGAGGGGGCGGAGATACAACCCTCACCCCCCCCCACGCGCGGCGCCCGCCCTCCCCCTCCTCCCCCCCCCCCCTTGGCGCCCGCCCGATGGCGGAACCTCGCGGCAACGCCAATAGATATGAGCATCGAACTTTGGAGGTCCGCGCGGACTTCTTACCTCGGCGCTGGACCCCGTCTCTTGAAGGGGCCCTGGGACACAAATAAATACACACAAATGAAAAGATTTCCCCGCATTTTCCCACATGTTTTGGGTTATTGTCTTCCCCCCCACTTCCCATAGCTTCCCATATTTTCTGGGGAATCGACGATTCATTGTGTCTGTGTGTTTCTTTCCCTCCTCGTCTCTGGCGCGCAGAGCGCGCCAGGGGGCCGGCGCCGCCGGGCTCCAGCGCCGACCCGAGAAAGCCCGCGCGCGGGCCTCCGAGGAGTGTGTGCGTACTATGTCGTGCCCTGCTCCCCGGCCTGGCCCTGTCCCCTCGAGGCGATCGACGCCCTCGACCCGAAGGCAACCGACCACTCGGGTCGGGCGACAGGGGGAGGGGTAGCAAAGGGGGGGTTTAAGAAGCCGCTCACGTAGCTGATTTTCCCCGGCGCCTCCCGGCGCCGGAGGCGGCCACGTATCGAGGACTGGGCCCCTCGGTGAGGCCGAATCCAGCTGCATGCAGCAAATTTCGTACCCCCCCCCTTCCCCAATTTCCCCCCTTTCGCCCGGCCCGAGACCACGCCCCCGGCCTTGGAAGCCCGAGGCCCCGTAGTCGCCGCCCGGCGAGTAGCCGCCGCCCATGGGGGCGAAGCCGCCGGCCCCCATGCCGCCGGCGTGCGCGCCGAAGCGGCCGCCCTTGCCGCCGAGCTTCGCCTCGTCCTGGCACCTCCTGGGAGGAGGCGGCTGCTCTGTGCTTCGGGGCAGCGGTCGTTACAAGAGTCGGGGATGGACAGACCTCCGTTTAGTAGAACGTGGTTTGGTGAAAACGACTTCGGGCCCAAACCTGGCGAGCGCAAGCCTGGAAAATAACGGCCACGGCGCCCTCTCGAAAACCGAAAACGGACAGTTCACCAATCGACGTGTCACCGTTGGGGGTTCTGTCCACCCCCGAAATAGGGGCCCGACCACAAGAAACCTTCCGCAAGAAACCCAACCCCGAGACCCCAGGATGTCCAGCGATTTTTGCTGCGGGAACGCCACGCTTTCCACAGCAGAACCATCGACACCCCAGAAACCCAGAGCACCCTGGAGGCGAGCAGGGTGTTTTTGTTGGCATGGGTCTCCACTGCGCTCAGGGGGGGAGGGGCCCCAGGTAACGGCACCGGCTGGGCGGGGAGGGGCGCTGCGATCGCCAAAGAATGCGCGCGAGCACCAGCAGGTGGGGGGAGCGCGTTGAAGGCGCCCCGCGCCTCCCCGTACGTACGGCCGCTGCCGTTACCCGAGGGGGGGGGGGGAAGGGGGAGTTCCAGGCCAAGACAACACTGCAGCGTCGGTCACGGCCTCACAAAATAGGGGGAGGAGGAGGGGCGGGGCGAGGAGGACGGGCAGAGGAGGAACAGGGAGGAGGGGGGAGGCGGCGCGGTGGAGGACGAAAGGATGGGGAAGCTGTGGTCGGAATTGGTAAGCAAAGGCTCTCCCTGCTTCTGTATGAGTCCTTCCCGGCCGACGGCCTTTAGATCGACTTTGCCACTCGCAGCCAGAACTGCATGATCCAACATTCCGTAAGGCGCTTCCTTTGCCGCTCTCTTTCTCACAAATTGGTGGGTGCCTCTTTGGGGTATAACTGCGTATTTGAAGCGCTCCTCTGAGCTCTATGAGGCAGATGTTTCCGGCGTGCCCATTTTCTTTTTTGCTGCAAGAGAAAAGCTGGCCGTATCGTCGATCCTGGAACGAAGAATCCGCCGACCCCTTGGGGTTCATCGGCGTGTGAGATGTTCCCCCTCCCCAAACCCCTCCCCCGGGAGCCCGGTCCAGTCGGTTTGGAGGGGGGGGAGGTCCCCTCGGATGCCCCGGACGGCCCTGGACGGGAGCGGAGGTGCCAGCCGCTCCCGAAAATCGTGCAAAACCTCTGGAAAATCGTGCAGGGACTCCTCTGGTGGCCTCGAAATGGCTCTTGGACGCCCAACGAGCGCTCCAAGACGCTCACAGTGGCCCAAAGACGCGCCACGAGGCGTCCTCGACGGCAGAAAAGGTCCCAACGAGCTGCCCCGAGGGCCTCCAAGATGCGTTCCACGAGGGTCCCTAGACGCAAAAATTGGCCAATTCCCGTCGTGAAACGTACATTTTTCACAAATTCGGCTTGGGGCCTTTCCGATGCTCCCCGACGGCCCAAGAGGCCCCCAAACCCGCTCCCAGACGGCCCAAGACGCCTCGCAGAGGGTCCCCCACAGACCCCTCGAGGGCCCGACGACGGGCCAACAGGCGTCCAAGACGGCCCAAGAGGACTCCGAAAACGGCCCCAAGAACGCTCCAGGAACGCTCCGAATGGCCTCCACAAAGCTTCACATGGTCCCAGACCGTCCAAGAGCGATCAAAAACATCGACGACGGCTTCCCGACGGCTCAAGAGGCCCCCCAAGACGCCCCAAGAGGCATCCAAGATTCGCCCCAAGAGGCCCTCTAGATGGAACAAATCGCCCGTTCCCTTCGTAAAACGTATATGTTCCACACGTGCGCCTTTTAGGGTGCCCCCCGCTCCTGGACGACCCCAGAGCCCCCCAAACTCGCTCCCAGACGGCCCAAGACGCCTCCAAGAGGGTTCCCCACATAGCCCTCGAGGGCCCCAAGACGGGCCAACAGACGTCCAAGACGGCCCAAAAGGGCTCCGAAAACGGCCCCGAGAGCGCTTCAGGAGCGCTCCGAGTGGCCTCCACAAAGCTCCACATGGTCCCAGACGGTCCAAGAGCGATCAAAAACATCGACGACGGCCACCCGACGGCTCAAGAGGCCCCCAAAGACGCCCCGAGAGGCATCCAAGATTCGCCCCAAGATGCCCTCTAGACGCAACAAATCGCCCGTTCCCTTCGTAAAACGTATATGTTCCACACGTGCGCCTTTTGGGGTGTCCCCCGCTCCTGGACGGCCCCAGAGCCCCCCAAACCCGCTCCCAGACGGCCCAAGACGCCTCCAAGAGGGTTCCCCACATAGCCCTCGAGGGCCCCAAGACGGGCCAGCAAACGTCCAAGACGGCCCAAAAGGGCTCCGAAAACGGCCCCGAGAGCGCTTCAGGAGCGCTCCGAGTGGCCTCGAAGAGAGCTCCACATGGCCCCCGACGGTCCCAGAGCAATCAAAAACACTGACGACGGCCTCCTGACGGCTAAAGAGGCCCCCAAAACGCCCCAAGAAACATCAACGATGCGCCACAAGAGGTCCTCTAGACGCACAAAATCGCCCGTTCCCTCCGTACAACTTATACCTATACGACCACCCTGCGGGTGATAAGGAGGTGAGGGGGGAGGGGGAAAAAACGTCTCACTCAATCGATCTCGCTATCGATCCCACATTCGATCTCATTATCGATATCACTATCGATCTCGCTATCGATCTAACTATCGATCTCACAATCGATCCCACAATCGATCTCACATTCGGTCTCACATTCGGTCTCACTGTCGATCTCACAATCGATCTCACAATCGATCTCACAGTCGATCTCACATTCGGTCTCACATTCGGTCTCACTATCGATCTCACTGTCGATCTCACTATCGATATCACTATCGATCGCACATTCGGTTTCGCATTCGGTCTCACTATCGATCTCACAATCGATCTCATTATCGATCTCACAGTCGATCTCACTATCGATATCACAATCGATCTCGCAATCGATCTCACATTCGGCCTCACTATCAATCTCACTATCGACCACACAATCGATCTCACAATCGATCTCACATTCGGATTCACATTCGGTCTCACTATCGATCTCACAATCGATCTCAATATCGATCTCACAGTCGATCTCACTATCGATATCACAATCGATCTCGCAATCCATCTCACACTCATCATCACCATAATCAATCATCATCATCATCATCATCACCATCATAGTCATCATCATCGGGACACTATAATCATCATCAACATCATCATCAACACCATCAGCATCGGGACACCACCAACATCATCATCATCATCATCAGCATCATCATCATCATAATCATCATATCATCATCATCCTCAACATCGTCATCATCATAATCATCATCATCACCATCATCATCATCATCGGGACACCATCATCGTCATCATCATCAACAGAATAATCATCATCATCGTCATCATCGTCGGGACACCATCATCATCATCATCGACATCATCATCATCAACATCATCATCATCATCATCATCATCGGGACACCAGCATCATCATCATCATGATCAACATCATCATCAACATCATCGTCATCGGGACACCATCATCATCAACATCATCAACGTCATCATCATCACCACCATCATCACCATCATCACCCTCATCATCTCACAAGCGATCTGACTATCGATCTCACAATCGATCTCACTATCGATCTCACAAGCGATCTCACATTCGGTGTCACTATGGATATCACAATCGATCTCACAATCAACGTCATCATCATCATCATCAACATCAACATCAACATCATCATCATCATCATCATCATCATCATCATCATCATCATCATCATCATCATCATCGCCATCATCAACATCATCATCATCATCATCATCACCATCATCACCATCACCATCATCATCATCATCATCATCATCATCATCATCATCATCACAATCATCATCATAATCATCCACATCATCATCGGGACACCGACGGGACACCGACGGGACACCAGCGGGACACCGGCGGGACACCGCGCGCCACCGGCACCCCGGAAGGGAAACATTTGGTCCGGCCGCGCCTCAGCCACAGGAGAACCGACGGGACACCAGCGGGACACCGGCGGGACACCGCGGGCCACCGGCCGCCCGGAAGGGAGTCATTTGGTCCAGCCGCGCCTAAGCCATACTCCCCTCCCCAGGGACCCCAAACCGGCAATTCGACCCCCCCCTCGCACAGCCGGACCCCGGACCGAACCCGCCACGGGGGAGCGGAGAGCTCCAAAACTGGCGAAGAAGGCACCAAACCGCTCCCCAGACGGTCCGGGGGCCACGAATCGCTGAAATATCGCCCTGGACGCCCACGATGGACTCCAGGCGGCCTCCGAAGCTGCCAAGACGCACCGAAAGGCTCCCAAGATGCGCCCAACAAAAATCGCCCCATTCTCTTCGAAAAACAAACATTTTTCGCATGCTCGCCGATTCGGATTTCACAACGTCCCAGACGGGCACAGAAACCTTCAATATCGCCCCCAGACGGCCAAAGGGGCCCCGAAGAAGGGCCGAAGAGGGGCCAACACCAGCCCCCGAAGCTCCCAAGACAGCCCAAGAGGGCCCTCAGACGGCTCCAAGACGGAGCCCAGAGGGCACCTTTTCGAGCCTCGGCCCCAAGACGTCCCCAGCGTGCCCAAAGAACAGCCCAAGAGGCCCCGAGGGACCTCCAAAAGAACCTCAAAGGCCTCCAAGAAGCCCCCAGGAAGCCCTCAAGAGGCCCCAAAACTTGGCCCAAAATGCCTCGAGGCGGCCGGATATGGCCTGCAGACAGGCCAAGATGCCACCAAAAGGCAACAAAGGAGCACCAGGAGGTACGATAACAGCAACGAAGCAACAGGAACGATGTCCAGCGCGGTGTCATGATTCGGACAAGCCTCGTGAAATGCAGTCCTGGAGGCGCAGTAGCTTATATAGGGGTCGGCGGGTGTGGCGTAAGCCTATAGAATCAATCTTGCTGGCCGAAAAGGCCTGGAGAAGCACCACCTCCACGATAGAACCAGGTGCTGCCGAAAACTTGCGATCCCTTGTGCTACGGCTGAACAATGGAGCGTGCAGTAAGTCCGTTCCGTGGCGACGTTGGAGCTTGTCTCTAACAGCGCGTGGATCTTTCAACTTTGCGAACGAACACGCCTTTCTGAAGACGCCGGACGTGCGATATCGACAGGTTCTAGGCAACCAGCGGCGATATCGACAGGCTCCGAGCAGCCGCGCTAGGCACGCCGCAGGGTCGATGCGGCGCGAACCAGCCGTAGAGCAACAGCGGCAATAGATTCAGAAAGTTTGGGATGTGCCCTGGACTCGTCGGGGCCAGTGGCAGCATCCTTGGAGCTCCAGACACGGCACTTCGTGCCTCAAGTGCGCATGGGCCTGGCAGACCCGACTCCGGAGGTCATGTGCGCCCGTGTTCATGGCTTGACCTCACGGTGAGGGAGAAGAGAAAGAGAGAGAGAAAGAGAGAGAGAGAGAGGAAAAGAGAGAGAGAGAGAGCGAAAACAAGAGAGGGAGAGAGAGAGAGAGAGAACGAGACACGAATACACATCATGCATCATAGATCTATGTATGTCGCAGCCGGCGTGGACCCAAAGAGTGTGTTTCTGGCAGTCAGTCTATGTGGCGCAATCGATGCGGTGGAAACTATCTGGAGGAGTATTTCTGGTGCGACCTATGTGGTGCAAGATAAATATATGTGTACAGATCTGCTGTACAATCTATGTTCTGCAATCTTCGTGGTGCTGTCTACCTGATGCAATTTGTGGTGTGCATCTTTTGTGGTGCAATCTATGTAGTGCAATCTATGTGGTGCACTCGATGTGGCGGAATCTGGGTAGGCCAATCTAGGTTGTGCAATCAATGTCGTGTAATATATGTGGGCGGCGACGGCGGCAACATAGCCGCACGCACGACAGACAGGCCCAGACGACAGGCGGCGACGAGGCGGCGACGGGGCGGCGACGGCAGCAACATAGCCGCCAGACCGACAGGCAGGCCCAGACGACGGGCGGCGACGAGGTGGCGACGGGGCGGCGACGGCGGCAACATAGCCGCACGACCGACATACAGGCCCGAACGACGGGCGCGACGAGGCGGCGACGGGGCGGCGACGGTGGCAACGTAGCTGACAGACGACACTTAGACGACGGGCGGCGACGGGGTGGCGAAGGCGGCAACAGATCCGCCAGACCGATAGACAGGCCCAGGTCCTCAATAACAGGTAAGCCCTAAGTGCAAGCACTGTCTGGGGAATAGAAAGAGAGAGGGAGAGAGAGAGGAGAGAGAGAGAGGGAGAGAGAGGGAGGAGAGAGGGAGAAGAGATGGACATCCGAAGGTTGCCGACATCGAAGGGCCAGAAGAAAGACTGTCGGAAATCTGACAACACGAAGATACATCAAAAATCGACAAGATTCCCTGATCGTCCTACACCGGCTGGCGAGAGCCTTTGACGCACACCCTCGTGGATGTTGCGCCGTTTTTGTGCCGACCTTGGCTTGCGAACTCGGTGGCGCATGACCACTTATACACTCACGCCCGGGAGCTCAAATGCGGTGCGGCCCACGTCTTACCACCATACCCAAACAGATGGAACGATACCCGTTTGTCGGCGCCAACTGCGACCTCCCCAGATGAACACATCGAGACATTTGTTACGCACACGTTCACAAACCGATCGATGTTGCACTCGTCTGAAAGAAAGGCCTGGGG